ATTTTCCTTTTTACATAGTTCGGATCAGACTTGATTTGGCTGAGATCTGCATCTTTTTATTTCTCAAAAAAAATTCCAGTTTTTTTTGTCCCACACTGTATATCAAAGCAAAAGTAGTTTGTTACTTCATCATAATGAAATATTTAGAAAGAAGAAGATGATGGAAATGATGATGATGATTATTAGAACATGTAAGGCGGGGAGAAATTATAGGAGAAGAAATGAAATCAAAATGAATAGAGGAAGAAGAGAAGAGCAAGATAAAAAAAATTTTTTTCAAAGAAAAAAGTGTGAGATCACGTTTTTTTTGGATCGAACATCTTTGTCAGACTCAATTACCAGAAAATTAATTGAGGATTGCTTAACTATCCAACTGTGATCTCATGACTACTGAATATAAATAAATTCCAATTAAATCGGGTCGGTCGGGTCCGGTCAATAGTATTCGTCAAAAAATAAAAGTTGTAAATACTTGTTTTTAAATGTCAATTTCTACTTTTTTTTAAAATCAAAAAAAAATTAATAATTTAGTTATTAGAATAAAAAGATTTTTATATAATCTATCGCAAATAAGTATTACGATGTTATGTGCGTTACTTTCTCCAAAATCATAACCGTACCGTACTGGTCAAACGATTCGTACCGGTTTTCTATATATTGTTACTCTCGATCTTTGACTGCGGCAAAATAGATCGCCGTTAATCTCATATTCTGGCGAATCTGTTATAATGGACAGAACCCAATAACTGATGGAAGAACCATGTCAAATTAGTAACTTTTAACATCAGGATTAATTAAATTATCTATCCGTCATCCATCCGCAATTAATTATATTTTAAGGACCTTTAGAAGGAAAATTTTGTTACAATTATACTTCGTTTACCTCTTAGTTTTCGATAGAATTGAACAATATTTACTTAGATAGTTCTTTTTACGAAATGACTTATTCTTTTTTTCTTTATCACATTTATAAATTAACTTTTTCTATATACTATAAATATTAATTATTTCCTCATTTAATCAGTTACGGCCATACACAGTGAAAAGCACCGGAACCCGTCCGATCTCCGAAGTTAAGCCACTGATGGCCCAGTCAGTAAGTACTACGGTTGGGGACAACGTGGGAATACTGGGTGCTGTAACTTTTTTTTTCAAAAAATAAAATTTTAAGAAATTCATTATTCCTTTTTGAAAACTTTTTTAATCATTACTATACAAATTGTCACAGTATAAATGATTTATTTCTTACTTCAAATGCTCTTATCGAATATTCAACACCCTCACTGTGGGGAATGCTGAAAAAAAAGTGAACATGACATGACTGATTATAATTGTGTTATAATAATGAAATTTATTTCATTTTTTCATTTCATTTTATCTTTTAAAACTTTGATAATTACTCAATAGATACAAAGGTAGTAATAATCAGTACATACCTAAATGAACGAACGTATTCTTCAAGTATGTCTTTTTGTGAACTATAAGAATGCGAATTTTAGATGTGCGAAAACGGTCATAAAATAACATAAGAAGCTCGACATAATCATTAATTTTGTTTGTACTCCCAGAAAATTAAACTAAAAGAGTAATGATTTAAGGATACTAAAAAATTCTTCAATTTTTTTTGAAATACCTACGCTTTTAGAACTAGTTCATGTAAATTTAAAACCCTATCGTAAATAAACAATTATAAAGATTGGCGACAGGTTTTAAACGAAAATAAATCATTAATACTAATTCTTAAATTATTAGTATGGATAAACTTAATGATCAAAACTCGAAACCATTGAATTCAGATTCTTCAGATTCGTTGCTTTATGGAAGGTCATTAGAGAAAGTAGGGATTAAATCGAATATACCAAAATCTCGAAAATTGAATCCATTAATTCCATTAATTGGTCACGCAGTAAAGCGCAGCATAAAGAAAACTAGGCATAATTCAAATGATTCTTTACTTTATTTTTATGTAATCTCTTTTTTATATATTGATTAAATTTGAGAAGTAAAGTAATATTGTGAATAGAGCTTCGAAAGGGTCAGGTCGGGTCGGGTTTCAGAGAAACCCGAACCCGACCCGAGAGTGTAAATGAACTGTTAAAAATATTCGGGTCAGAATTTATATGACCTAAACCAGATACGACCCGACTATAGTTAAACTCGGAACAACCCGAGTTTTACGGATAATGTTAAATCTGAGAAACGTATTTCAATATACCGGGTGATTTTATAAAATTTATTAGAAATTATTCATTGTATAATAATGTTTATTGTAAATTTATTCAACAATGTTAAGTTAATGAATCGAAAAATATAATTTCAAAATCTTATGCCCTCCAGGACAAGTTTTCAATGGAAGATCATTTTCTTAAAAAGCTTCTTTTGTAAAAACACTACGTAAAGCTTCTTCGTTTTAGAGTAGTTGCAATTCTAGGGTTGGAAGATGTGAGGCATTTTTTTGTTAACCATACATTTTGTCGTAAACTTAATTTCTAATTTTAGTTAAATTTATTTTATAGAAGATACGAGATAATCCAATGATCCATCATCATCGCTATCATTAAACATTAGAACATTGCTTTAATACGACAAAAACGGAAATGAAATATAAGATGCATTATCTAAAAAAGTTAAATAGACAAATTAAATATTTATTTACAATTCAATAAATTTTTTTGCAACCATATTGGTTTTTATATCTTTAAAGCTTACAAAATTTATCAAGAATATTGAGTACCCGAAGGACTTAAAAATGTATCGAAATTAATTTATATTGTCTTACAGTTATGTTCTCAAATGATAGTCCTGACAAACTTTGGGAAAAAACACGAAAGGCTATTGAGGAAGTAGGAATTGGAAATGCGACTTATTAATAATAATTAAAACCTATTTGCTTGAAATTATTGGGGATTTGAAATAATTATTTGTCATAATCTTTATTATTGAAAATTATAAAACGAAATTATATTTCAATAGGAATGTGAGATATAAAGAAAAGAAGGAGGGAGCTGATCGATGAATTATTATTATTATTATTATTTAATAATAACTTAACGTGAAAATTATCGTTATATATAGAGATTTGTGGCATCAGTTCATAAGAAACTTTCCATCGCTTTCATTGATGTCACTGGTTGTATTTGATTATTTTGATGCAAATTTAAATGGCATTCACTAACGGAGTGTATAAATATCAGATCAAAATAGAAAATTTTATGATATAATTATATTTTAAATTTAATTATATATCAATTTAATTGATTTATCTAGATAATAATTTAAATTAAAATTTATGCAAAAGCTAAGGGAGACTTTTATATTCTAAATGTTGCACAAAAATATTCTGAATGTTATCATAACAGTTGTTTATTTTTAAACTGGAATAACATAAAACTATTTTATTAAATAATTTAGGATCTTAAAAAATTTTTTATACTAAAAATATTATTTGTCATCCTCTTAGTATTAAAATACTTTATTATTATTGCAATTATTTAATTTAAAAATAATTTATGGTTTTGCAAACTTTAATATAAAATAAAAAGAAAAAATAAAATTACATTGTATTTATCATATAAATAAATTTTAAATGCATATTTCTTCCCAACAGAAAATATCAATTAATCAACAGATAGGCAAGTATGTCAAATGGCCAAAATGTCATTTCATCCAGATATGTCTAATGCGCGGTCAATTCTTAGAATCAAGACTGTTTATTTATTAAAGTCAATCAATTTTACTAATAAATGCTTCACCATTTTCAGGATAACCTGTATCTTTTTCTATTATATTTTTGATTTTCTTGCAATTTGACAAATCCAAAGAAACCAATTTATTATTATAGCATGAGAATCTTTCCAAAGACTTAGGTAAAGTTGGTAGGCCATTTATTTGTGCATTGTGACAGTAAAAAGTTGTTAAGGAGTCAGGTAAACTTGGCAAGCTAATTATTTTAGTATTGCTACAGTTGAGTATTGTTAAGGAATTGGGTAAAGTTGGCAAGGAAGTTATTTTAGTAAAACAACAGACGAGAGTTGTTAAGACGTTTGATAAATTTGGTAAACTTGCTATTTGAGTATCATAGCAATAGAGTTTCGTTAAGGAGTTAGGTAAAATTGGTAAGGTGGTTATTTGAGTCTTATGACAATATATTTCTTTTAAGGAATTGGGTAAAGTTGGTAAGCTCGTAATTTGAGTTCCATAGCAATAAAATTCCATTAAGGAGTTAGGTAAAGTTGGTAAATTTGTTATATGAGTATTACCACAGCTGAGAATTGTTAAGGAGTTAGGTAAAGTTGGTAAGGTGGTTATTTGAGTTTTATGGCAATAAAGTTCGGTTAAGGAGTTAGGTAAATTTGGTAACATCGATATTTTAGTATTCTCACATCGGAGAATTGTTAAGGAATTAGATAGAGTTGGCAAGCTGGTTATTTGAGTTTCATAGCAATAAAGTTCGGTTAAGGAGTTAGGTAAAGTTGGTAACATTGCTATTTTAGTATTACCACAGCTGAGAATTGATAAGGAGCTAGGTAAAGTTGGTAATTGTGTTATATTAGAATTAAAACATCGAAGAATTGATAGAGAGCTAGGTAAAATAGGTAAGGTGGTTATTTTGGTATTGTCACATCGGAGAATTGTTAAGGAGTTAGATAGGGTTGGCAAGCTGGTTATTTGAGAACCTTGGCAATAGCGTTCTTTTAAGGAATTAGGTAAAGTTGTTAAGGTGGTTATCTTAGTATTGTCACATTGGAGTATTGTTAAGGAGTTAGATAGAGTTGGCAAGCTGGTTATTTGAGAACCTTGGCAATAGAGTTCTTTTAAGGAGTTAGGTAAAATTGGCAAGCTGGTTATTTGAGAATCATTACAATAGAGCTTTGTCAATTTTCGATATTTTTGCAATCCACCTGAGATG